AATAAACCATCCGAATTCCACAGGGACACCTACAGTGACAGGAGTGGAAGCAGCTCCCCGGACTCTGAAATCACCGAATTGAAGTTCCCATCAATAAATCATGACTGATGGTAACGTAAGTGGCGTTTCTCAGCTCTAGTATCTTTGTTTGTTTGGTGGTTATGCTAGACTTGGAAGCTGTCGTGAAAGTCTGATGGTGAGAATTTTATCTGCCAGAGTAAGGTCGGTGTGGGTATCAGGTGGGCGAGGCCCCCCTGAGTTACAGTGTCGGTACCCCCTGGGCCTCGGGGCTTCAGTGCAGGGCGGAGGGGACACCAGCCACTGGGCAGTTGTCCTGTCGCTGATTGCGACATTCAGGTGCCAGTCTGACCAAACCTGGGGGAACTGGGCTCTCAGACCCTGTTATCTCATGTAGCCATAAACTTGGGAGAACCTTGAAGGAGGTGACTGGTGTGACAAAATGGTCATGTTTGCAGAACCTCAGGCTTTCGTCAGGAAGTGCTTTAAAATTGACACAACGTACAACACTTATGTTGATTGCTGCTTATTCTGGAAATCCTTTAAAATCGGAACAATTATCGGGCAGACTTGGAACGTCGGTCTTTACAGTGACAGGGTTTGTATGTTCCTGATGTGAGGTGGCTGTTGAGCACTGCCATAAATGACATTCAGTATTACTGTGATAACCGAGTGAACTATGTTCAGCTCCTGCTGGTGGGAGTACCAGCAGGGGGCTGGGGGGGGGGCGGTCAGGAGTCTGTGGGGTCTGAAAGGAGAACCAGGGATGTGGTGAGGTCCCATAGGTGGGGGCCCCAGCCCAGCCGGCGAGAGCTCCCAGCATGTGGCACAGGCAGGTGACCTCCTGAGCCCTGCACACCTCGAGCTCACCAGTGGCCTCTGGGCTGCGCGACTGTGCCCTCCGGCCCTGGATGCCGAGCTGCTTGGCCTGTGGCAGCCCCTGCTGGGCGGGCGGGAGACGTGGGTTCACGCCCGGCGCGGGCAGTGGTTGTGTCCTGGCACAGATGCACTCCTCCGTCTCCGATCTGCTGCGGGCTGCCTGCTAGTCCGAGAAACTGCCCGGAAGAGGAGCCTATGTTCCCAGTCAGGGGCCGGGTAGTTGGTTAAGTCCTGACTCTCCCTGCTGGCAGCCCTGTGGGGAGGCTGGGTGCACTGACAAGAACGCCAGCATTGGGGTGGAGGAAGAAGCCTCGTACGATCTGGAAAGCGTGGGATTGTGCAGGTGTTCCAGAGTTAGCTTCTAACGATCCATATTAGGCTCCTGTTACTGGTCTTCACTGGGAAGTGGACATGGTTTGCTGTAGCAGCCGACTCTGAACTCTTAACTTTCCTACTTGCATATACATCATATAATAGCTCTTTTTGTTTTTAAACAGGGATGATTCTTCAAGAGAGCCTTTGGACTTTGAGAGTTTACAGCTTTGACTTTACACTCAACTTTTGACACTTCCTTTAAATTATGTTTTTATTAAGATTATTTTATTATGGGGGAAAGGTATTTGGAAGACTTTGTGACTCGCATGTCCCATCCTGTGTGCCGGCCCCTCCTGGGTGCCGCCCTGTGTCGACACCCCACACGGTCCCCGCGGCGCTCCGCCGAGGAGGGCGGCCTCTGGGCGGGGCTGGATGACGCACGCGCCGGGGGAGGGCCCAGCAGTCACCTCGTTTCTCCAACTACCTCCTGTCATCGTGGATTCAAGCGTGCGGCGCGTTGCTTCCCCTGCAACGCCTAGATCACAAGACGTGTGCCCCGTGGACGGATCACGGTAGCGAGTGCTGACGACACTTGGTGCTGGTGAGCCGAGGGCCTTGCTTGGCACCAGGAGCGGTGAAACCAGAAACAGCCCTGGCACTGCTCTGCTCTGTGGGGCCTCTCGCTGCCCGCAGTGGCGGGGACACGGTGGCCGAAGGGAACGGGTGGTTTGGTGTCACATGGAATGGCGAGGAGTCTTTCTCTCTGAAGTGTGGTTTCAGGATCCCTGTCCTCTGGCCGCGAGTCCCTTCCTGGGGATGGGAAATACTCCTTGCATCAAGGGGTTGCTTAAAAAAAAGAACAAAGAATCTTTTGGGGAAACTGCCTCTCAAAGCCTCTCCTATATAGACAGCTTTGTTCGAGGGGAGTTTGTCCTTCCAGAATGGTGTTACTGCCGTTGAAATGCAATCTGAAAAGCTATTTTCTTAACGTGGTGCAACTGTAGGCACCGCCGCGTGCCCGCTGTCCTCCGGCTAAGACCCCGTGTATACTCTAACTTAAGAAATAAATGACGCAGAACGAGACACGCCTTTGTGTGTCGGGCTCTTTATGTCGCGGCTGGGCGGGAAATGTCTCAGTGCGGTCCTGGACATGCCCGTGTCACCTCAACGGTCAGCACCTGGCTGTCCTCAGTGGGGGCGGCCCTAAGCAGATGAGCTGATCGTCTGCTTAAAAACTGAGAGGAGCCTTTCTTTTTCGTGGGAAACCAGAATTTCCCCCAAAGGCTTCAAATTTGGGTTCCCAGCATATAGAGATGCAAAGAAGCGTGGGTGCTGCTTGGTCGTGGGAAAGAGGGGAGGGCCGTGTTACTCATGGGGGTCTCTCCCTCTGCCGGGCGCGGATGGGGCCCCTCGCGCGTGTGACCCGGGAGCGGCGGACCGACGGCTGTCAGCCAGCAGGACTGCTTTATCCGTCGCTGGTCCTCCTGTCCCCCGGGCTTCTGTGTCCAGGGCAGTGTTCTGAGTGGTTTCTCCCCAGAGTGAAATCAGCACCACCGACCCTGCGCTCCTTGGGGCCTGTTGCTGCCATTGGCGCCACCCGCCCTCTGGCCGCTGAGCCCTCTGAGCCCGCCTCCTCGTGAGCTGGCTCCTCCCAACAGTCCGAGGCGGAGGCTCAGGCTGGGTTTCCTGTCTGTGGCCAACCGCGTTTCCTCACTGACATTCGAGAAACCGGGTTGGGGAGAAAAACGTTTCTCAGCGTTTAGCGCAGCTCCTCCGTCAGGGACGGGAGAAGCAGCGGGTTTCCCTGTGTGCCTCCGTTCACCGTCTCCAGGCCACCATCCCCGCTGGGGCCCAGAAGCGGGGGTGCCTGGCCTGACCAAGAGCAACCGCGCCACCTCTGTCTCCGACTTCTCGCGGACCGAAGTCAAGTGTGTCACTCACGGAGGTCTTCACGCCTGGCTTGGCGCTTTGGACACGGCTGCTGGGGTGGATTCTGACCCCTGTTCGCGCCTGGTGGGCTCAGTCTGAATCCTTTCTGACGTGCCCGGCGGTGGCAGCAGCACTCCCTACAACACTGAGGGCTCGCTTGGGCTTGGGACGGTTTGCAGATGTTCCCGGGGCCTCAGCTGACCCGTTGTTAAGTGCTGGCCATTCGGGTAACCCATGTGGAGAAGGGACTCCCCGGCTGGCTGTCCGGGGCCGGCGGAGCCTGAGCAGCCCTGTGTCCCCTGCCCCGCCGGCTGAGGCAGCGGGCACCGTGGCACTTCCACCCAGCCAGGCCGGGGCTTAGCAGCCTGGAGCAGCTCAGCGACACGGCTGCGCCTTGTCTTTGTCGCCACGGGCTGTGTCCCAGGAAGGGCACTTCTGAGGGTCGTGCTGCCTGGACCAGCCTCTAGCCTGTGCCTGGCACGTGGATGGGGCTCACAAATGGTTCCCCTCTGACTTCCTCAGCAGCACATCCTCTGTGCGGTTCTCAGGGAGCCTCTGAAAACTTGGTTCAGGCCCTGCGTTTGGGTGACCGAGGAGCCCAGCGGACGAGCAGCAGGAGTTGGGTAGTAACGTGCCACGAGACCGGCCTCCCTTACTAGCACGGTTGGTAAGTGGGAAGAGCAAGTCTCCAAGCAGCCGAGACTGGCGCAGGAGGGGTCTCCTGGCCAACGACCCAGGGGCTGTGGTGCCAGAGCTGCTCTTTCTACTCTGGATGAGGCCAAGGACCTCTAGACCAACGACGGAGAGCAGGGCAGCACGAGTGTGTTCTGTGGCCCTCCTGAGAAATGCCCTGTTTGACCAGGTGCCACGCTTTTCTGGTGGCTCGGACCCTAAGCTGGGTATTGCTTGTTTCCCCAGCAGGTTGCAATTTGGTATCTATGACCTGCCAGCCGTGTTTTAGGTTCTGAACGTTAGCAATGAACAAAACAGACCCAAATCCCTGTCCCCGGGAGCGTGTATTCTACCGTGGCGCAGGGAACAGCAAGGAAAGCTACAGAGTGTAACTGACGTGTGTGCCGAGGAAGGAGGCCGGAAGCAGGCAAGGGGGAGGGAGGTGTCATCTGCCGTTGGGTGGATAGGGAATTGGCTTTCCCCTCCACTTGAAGGTGGAGCCCAGAGGAAACAGCAGCCCTGCAGCTTGGGGGAGCAGCCTTCTAGGCAGGGAAGCACCCAGTGCAAAGGCCCTGCGGCAGGTGTGTTCGGGAGACAATGGATCTCTGTAGTGGGAGCACCCGAGCAAGGGGCAGAGGGTCTGGGGGCAGAGGGTCTGAGGTCAGATGGGCCAGGTTGGGCAGAATTGGGTAGCCCGCTGTTCGGACTTCGCCGCTGACGAAATGGGAACTTCCTGCAGGGCTTTGGGTGCTAGCATGGCATGATCAAATGTTGGCTCGGGAGTGTCGGGCTCTGCTGGTGGAGATGGGGGAATCCTCACTAGTGGCTGGAGGGTGCTTGGCCTGGAGGTCCCACCCTGTGCAGGTGCCAGTGGGTGCTGGCGAGACACAGGACGTCGGTCTGATGATGACCAGGTGCCCCCGCTCCCTGTCCATTTCACTGTCTTACAGATGAAGAAGCTGAACAAAGAGGTAGCAGTTTGTCCCTCCCTCCAGGGGACCTAGTCTGTAAGGTCGAGCTGGAATGGATTGCAACTGTTGGGGCCCCCCAGCTCTGGGTGGGAGGAGCCCCCGGGCTGGCTCAGCCTCCTGGACCGAGGTGGGCTGGCCATGGGACTCGGGACTCGGCTGCGTCCAGCGGACTGATTGCGTGCGCGGCCGAGAAAGAACATCCTCGCCCCAGGTGCATGTAATTTATTCAAGAGCTGGGACAATCACAAGTTCCAGCAAGCCCAGGGTTGGGTGCCCGGTGACCGAGTGTGCCTCGCCATCGGCAGAAGGGCTTTCCCAAGAGGACACGTTCCTTTCTGGCCTGTCTCGCCGCTGGGGTCAGAGACCCCGGCCTGGGCAAAATGAGCGTCTGAGGGAGTAGGGCAGTCCCTCACAGCTCGGCCCTGGGATGGCTCTGGCCGAGTTTTTAGCAGTTATTTCTGGAAGTAAGGTTCCTGGGGGATCAAGCTGAGAGCAGTTCCTCAGCTCCGTAGCCCGGGGTCCGCTCAGGATTGAAGCCTGCCCTCGGGCTGTTGTTGACGGAGCATGGACGGACGCGCTCCCGCGCTCCCATCCACCTCCGAGCAGCCCAGAGGGCTTTCAGGGTGAGGATTTGGGCGCACATGGGCAGTCCCGCATCTGCCAGTGGAGCTGGCCTTCCCCGCGCCACTCTGTCGCCCACCCGCGTGCCGGGGCCCTCACAGGACGCAGCAGGTGCAGGAGACGGGTGCAGGCTGCTGCAGCTGCTGCCTGAGCTGCTCCTTCTCTGCCGTCAGCACCTTCAGCCTCTGCTCCAGCTTGCTCAGCTCAGCCGCCCACTTCTGCGGGCGCCACAGAGGTAGAGGTCCACGCTGGGGCTGCCGGGGGCCGCGCCCGCCACCCCCCCGCCCACCCGGGGTTGAGCCGATGGAGGAGGGCCCCGGGGGGCCTACTCGAGGCCACCGGGAGGCACGTGGGCCCGGCGAGGTGCGAGCCAGGCCCCTGGCGGGGCCACCACCCCTGACAAGTCAGCCCTGGGTCTTGAGGGAAGCCGCCCGCCCGGAGGCCTGCTAGCATCCCAGACCCTGGGCTGACCCACCCTCTGGAGCCTCCTCGGGTCCCAGGGGCAGACCCGGGTGGGCCGCCGCCCCGCAATGTCCTTCCCTCTCTCGCCGGCAGCCCCTTGCCCTCCTCTGCTTCTCTGCCACCTGATGTGGCCCTCTTGAAAAGGCTTTTTCTTGGGACTGTGTCCAGCACTAACTGCCTTCTCATCGTAAGGGCCTTCCCCCAAATGCACTACAGTCTTTGGGGTGGTCTTCAGCCCTCTCCATATGCCACTCCCCCGGCTCAGCCAGCCACACAACGCCCCGGAGTGTGTGGGCTGCTTTCAGTGCAGCCCTCCCGTGTTCTGGCGGGTGATGGGGCACCGGGGGAAGCTGATGGCGTGGCCCGGACTGCGCGGTGAGGGGCCCCCAGCCGGCGGCTCACCTGCCTGCACCACTCCTGGATGGCGTGGCCGGACAGCGGGCCCTGGATGCTCCCGTCCCGCCGAAGGAACACCTCCCCCTGGTCGGTCTCGTAGAGCTGCGGCTCGGCCTGGGCCCTGGGGGCGTGCACGCTCAGGCGGATCACCTTGGTAAGGGCGACAGCGGCTCTGGCAGGCACCGCGGCCCCCCCACATCCCGGGGGGCTCCCGGAGCAGCCTGGGGGCGGGGCTTCCAGCCTCTCCTCCCGTCACTCTCTCAGGTCCCCTTGGCCCCCGTCCCTACCCAGCCCTGCTCGGCAGAGTGGAGGGTCCTCCCTCGTTGCGGGGGGCGGGGGGGACGACAAGACAGACTCCGAGACCTTCCTGGTGGCGGCTCACCTTGAGCGGCGTGCTGGAGGCGGAGGTGCTGACCACCGGGATGAAGGAGAGTGTGTAGGCGTCGGGGAAGACCTGGGGCTGGAAGCCCTGCAGGATGGAGTCCACCAGCAGGCGCACGCGGTCCTCGTCGTGGTGGCTGCAGCGCACGCCCTGCACCAGGCCGCTGTCCTCGACGCCCACGAACAGGCTGCCGCCCTCGCTGTTGAGGAAGGCGCACACGTAGCGCCGCAGGTGGTGCTTGAAGGCCAGGCTCAGGTACTCGCCACCGCCGCGCTTGAACTCCACGCTGCGCGTCTCGTTGCCCAGGAAGGCGCCCTGGAAGAGGCGCTCCTGGCCCACGATCTCCTGGTGCACGATGGCGCTGTCGGAGCGCGTGCCACCCGGCTGGCTCCGGGACCTCTGCAGGGCCCGCCCTGGGGTGCCGTGGGTGGGTCTGGGGTTGGGGCGGGGGCTCGGGCCGCTGTCCTTCTCCTGCTGGGGTGAGGGCTGAGAGTCAGGAGCCCCGAGCCTGGCAGCGAGAGGGACGGGACACCCCCTTCTGCCCCGGGGGGGCCCAGCCGCTCGGGCATCCTGATGCCCCCTCCCAGTGGAGGGGCCTAATTCTGCCCACCATCCCGTAGCCAGGGCAGGGAAACCCGCTGAGGCAAGGGTTTGAACCGCCACTGCTCCTTCCTGCGGGGCTAGGGGATGCGTGGTGGGTATGATGAGCTCTCCTTCCTGGGGCTGGGAGCTGGAACTGCTGTGGCCAATGTCTTCCCACTTAGTTACAGACGGGCCTCTGAGGCCCAGGGCCAGATCACTCCAGGAGATACCTCAGCAGCCTGAGGTCCCCTGTGACAGGTCTCTGAATTGTGAGGCGGGGGATCCCAGAAACCCACCCCCTTCCTGGTCTCCCTGAAACGCCTGTCACTTTCTGGACCACTGACCAGTCCTCCTGAATCTTAGCCCTCCTCCGGCCCTCCTGAGACCCCTTCCGTGGTTTCTGCTCTGTTCCAGGGCTCTGCGCATGAGCAGGCTCATGGCCACTGGCCGACTCTGGGCCTCACGCAGCCTCCCTACCTCCAGACTCCTCCCATCCCATCCACCCTCCTCGCTGACCCTGGCTCCATGCTGCCTCCCGGTCTCTAGCAGTGGCTTCCGGGGCCGGCAGCACAGTGGGGGCTGGGGCATGGTGGTGAGGGGCACATCCCTACCAGCCCCGCGGCTCCCAGACAAGACAGTTTATCAGAAACATGAGGAAACTGTCACACAAACGTGAAGTCAGGCTCACAAAGCTGTTCAGTTCCGCAACAATCGAAACACCACAGAGTTCTCATCCCAAAAGAAAAGGAAAACCAAGACCATCTGTCTCACGGAGTGTCCTACCTTAGCCACAGTGAGTTGATGCTCCCTCCCATCCCCCATAAAGGCCGCCCCCCGCCCCGACAGCCTCCCTGCTCTGCTTTCGTCTTGCAGCCCTTGGGGGCCTGGATCCTGCCCTCTGGCCCAGCTTTCTTCCTTAGCTCCTCAGCCTTCAGCTGCAGCTCCAGGAGCACCAAATGGCTTGCTCTTCTGCAGATGGAACATTGCCCCTCACCGTGTCCCGCTGCCTAGAACGTCCTTCCACCCCCCAACTCCCAGCTGGGATTTCGGGTCTGTGAAATTGCCCCCGCAGCTCGGCGACTGGCTGTGTCTGGCCCTGCTCGGCGGTATGAGGGCTCCTGGAGGGCAGGGCCCAGCCCTTGCTGCTTTACGGCCTGGCCTGGAGTGGGCCCCGCTGGCGGTCAACTGCAGGCAGGAGGTGGGCCGAGGAGAAAACACGCGTCCCCTCAGGCCCGGGCTGGCCCAGACCCAGAGGATGGAATGCGGAAGGACCCCGGGGCGGCGGGTGGGGAGGCCCCACACTGTGGCCTCTCTTCACAGGCTTCCAGGCTGGAGGCAAACTCTAAGTGCCGCTCCTCCTCCTGGGAGTCCGCCAGTCTGCAGAGCTGTTCCCGGCTCCTCGAAGACACACCGCCACCCCCCGCCCTGCGCCCCAGCACAGCCCGGCTGCGCCCAGGCTTCTCCCGCCCCGCGAGGCTCCGGGCAAGCCTCACTTACCGCCCGGCGGCTCCAGGGCCCCGGGCCCTCAGCCAGCACCAGCTCCTTGCCACGGGCCGCCAGCTCCTCGGGGATCTGGTGCTCCTCCAGGGCTGTCTGCAGGCGCCAGGGGAGGGAGGCCAGTGTGGCCTCGTGGGCGGCCACCTGCACCAGTGCACAGGCCTTCCGTGGGCGCCTCACCACCTCGATGTGCTCGCGTGCCACCGGCAGCTCCAGCCGCTCCAGGGCGTCCCGTAGCAGGCACGTGAGCACAGGCACTGAGAACTGGGGGTTCAGGTGGCCCACATAGAGAATGTGCGTGCTGGGTGCTGTCTGGAGGCCCGAGTCCTCAGGCGGGGACTCTTCCCCGGGGGGCTCCTGCGGGGGCTGCTTGCCTGGGGGCTCCATGAGGGGCTCCTGCACCTGGGTTTGCCGTGATCTCTTCCTGGGGAAGGGGGCGGTCTCTGGAGAGGTCTCCCTCAGAAGGGCTTCTGGGATGTTCCTCCCAGGGCCTCCCAGGGTCTCAGGGGCTGCCGAGGCAGGGGCTGGGCAGGGCCAGAGAGAGGGAGGGACGGTAGAGGGCCAGCCGAGAGGGGCCTGCCACCCACCCAAGGCCTAGGACAGGAAAGAGGGGAGTCAGACAGCGCTGAGGCAGACAACAGGGCGTGTGGGCCTGCCCCTCCATTCCACAGAAGGGAAGACCGAGGGGGTGTGCCTCAAGAAGGGCAGAGGGGCCCCTCAGACTCCGCTCTGAGGGCCCCGCCGCCTCCCGTCCTCCCCCCACCAGGCTACAGGCGGGAGGAAAAGCTGCGGATTTCCTGCCCATCAGAGATGGCTGCTGCCTCCCGGCCCCAGGGGAACCTTTTCAAGGGGCCTTTGGAGAGGAAGCCATCACCCAGGGCTCCTCCCCGGCTGCTCCGAAGCTGGGGTGAGCCCCGCCGAGGCTGTGACCCAGTCAGGGCTGCGCCTGAGGGTTTTAGGGCAGAGGCTCCCTGACCAAGTTTCAGCCCTTCCCCACAAATGGCCTCCGAACACGCACAGCTAATTTGAGGGGGCTCGTGGCCTGGTCTAGACGAAGTCCAGAGAGAAGAGAGGAGGGGCAGAGCCGGGGTTCCTAAGTACGCCCCCTCCCGCCAGGCCGGGGGCCTCACGCCTGAGCTGGGCACCTTTGGTACCCGGCGGCCCCTCCACTCACCCCCGCACACCCGGCCTCCGCTCTGTGGGGCGGCTGCCACCGGCCTGCATCTTTTCAGATTGGCTCCTTGAGACAGTCAGGGCCTGGGGACCAGCACTGCCGGGGTGGGGGCATTCGGGACAATCAGGAACAGGGGACAGAGGGAGGCCTATGACCCTCATGTCCTGATGGTTCCCGGGGGGAGCGTGGGAGGTGCCAGCCCTCAGCTCCCACAGACCCCAGACCCCTGACCCCTGGCCAGCAGCTCCCCGGGGGCACTTGGGGGCCTGGCGAGGGGCAGCCAGAACCAGAGCTGCGGGGGAGGCGGGCGGGGCCTGAGCAGCCCCCTCTGTGATCTCGCGGGAGTCAACAATGCCGCCGTGGAGAGCCAGGAAAACCCCGCCGTCCCCATCCCCAAGGGAGGGACACTACGCGCACCACAGCTTGGCGGTGTGGCTCCCTCTGGGCCGCTCCCGGGGTCCCGGGGCCAAAGGACATACTTCCTCCTCCTGTAATGTCTCTCCTGGCCCCCCGTGCCCACGCAGGTCCTCTTCAGTCCCCACCTTCCCCTTCCGTCCCCGGCCCCAGGCTCGGCTGAGCGCCGCCAGCCCGGCCGCTCGCAGCGTGAATCGGAGCGCACGCAGCGGGCAGCAGGCCCTGCTCGGCGCCGGGGCGGAGGCTGCTGGCCAGAAGAGCCCTGAGCACTCGGTCAAGAGCTGCCATCCCTTTTCAAGCACAGGGCTGTCACCTGCTGTCTGACAGGGACCAGGACGTGGGTGATACCCATGATGCCTCTATTAACGCAGAAATCTGTTCTTGGGCGGGGGAGGGGGGCTTTGAGAAATGCTTTCATCAGGCAGATGCAGGTAGCTCATTCCCGCCTTCCCACCACGCAGCTTCTGGAAGCCCTGCGGGTGGGGGGAGGGCAGAGGCAGATGCTTCAGACTGGGGAAGCTGTTGGGGCCGTGCGGGCTGCCACCCCTCCGTCCCCGGGCAGCCATCCTGAAGAGGCTGAGGGAGTTCTGTTTCCCTCAGGGACGAGGCAGAAGCTGGGCTGGGCCAGCTTCGAGCGGTGGTGGCGTGCGGCTCTGGGATGAGGGCTGCGAGCTCCCCACGCGCCCCCCCCGACCCCCCCTCCCCCTGCCTTTCAGGCCTGTCTAGACCCGGCCTTGACGGGCCACTCTCACGGCGACCGCTCCGCTGGGAAGGCGCAGTGGAGCTGCGCTGCGTCGCCCGGGAAGGGCCGGCCAGGAGAGGCGCCCTGACAGACCAAACCCGTAAGCGCCACCAGAGAACACGGCTCCCCTCCCGAGAGGCCTTGCTGTGCGGCCACCCGCGGCACCTGACTGCCCACACTCGCCCTACCCCTCCTGGGGGTCTCCTCACACCACCTCACGACCGATCCCCCTGGGACCTTTTACCTCCGCGTGTGTGAAAAGCACAGCCGTCCTCCTTCCTTCTGCGGGGAGGGGTGAAAACGGCCCGTTAAGCACGAGATACATTTACACAATAATATTTCAAATACTGACACGTACGGCAGTGTAACCGGCTTATGTAGGGCACCAGGCTAAGAGGCCGCCGGCCGGTGGTGGACACAGGCTCCGTGTTACGGGGTAAGCAGCCCCTTTATCCCCTCAATGGATGTCCGTGACCTTCCTGACAGACTCTACTTTGTGCCAGAGGCAAACAACTCTTGAATTTAAAGGTAAGGATGTGAGGTGGACCCAAAGATGAGGGGGGAGAGGGAGGCTTACGGATATGGCTCTTCTCATGTTATCTGGAGAGTGGCCGCGATCCCCAAAAGCACGTCAAGGATGGGAGGCCGGGAGGCCGGGCCAGCCGGGGAGCAGAGTGCAGGGGCAGAGGTGGGGACTGAGCTCAGCCACTGCGTGGGAGAGGTCAGGACAGCACACTCCTCAACTCAGGAGAGAAGTGGTGTGGACGCAGCCTTTGCCATCTGGGCCCCATGGGGCTCCTGTCTTAAGCCCTCGCCTGGCGTATGGCCATCTGCCTGTTGATTGTCGCCTACCTCTGACAAGGTCCAACCCCAGACCCAGGTGTCTCGGGTCCCGTGTCTTTACACTGGGACTTGTCAGCTGTGGGCTCCCGGAAGCACCCGCAGCGGCTTTGGTGTCGCAGGCCAGGCATAAATGCGGTCGTGACACTTGGCTGTCATGGCCCCTGGACTGGAGGTTTCCAGCTGTAGAACTTCCCAGATGAATGGGGCGACTTGGGGTATTAGGGTAAGGAGGTGCAAAAAGCGGAAGGATGATGAGGGGAGGGGTGTCTGGGCTCTTCAAGGCAAGAAGTTTCTCCAGGTTTTTAGCTTTGGTTGCAGGGAGGAGGGGGGAGCCACCTTCCAGCTCTTCCTGAGGAGGGATCGTGGCATCCGTGTGAGGGCAGACACCGTGTCCACATGGACCACCAGAGCCACGGCCCACAGAAATCTCAGATTATTTCGCAAAGATGCCAACAAGGAGGCTGTGGAGGCTCCAGTCTGACAAGGCAGAGGTGACAGGGACTACCTGGCCGGCAGCAGGGAGGGTGCAGATGGTGCCTAGGTAGAGCCTGGACTCTTCTGTCATCTCAAGCACACGGGCTTCCTGATGCTCCTCAGTGCTGGGAGTCAATGTCCTCTCCTTGTCACAGTATTGAGGGGGGGCACGTGAAGCTGGTGCCAGGGGGCCTCTGGCCCCCAGTCCCAGCTGCCTTCCCATTTTGTGGGTGCTGGACTGTTGGGGTTCACGGAGTGGTCTCCCCTGCACCTCGGCTGGTGTGCACGGCCCTGCCGAGGCCCCTTCAGCTTCTCTGGATGACTGTGGGTCACTATTAGAAGGCTTGGCTTTGAGAAATAATTTCAAAAGTGTTTTTTTTTTTTTCTCCTGAGAAGACATTCAGTTCTGTCCCCAGAGATTAGGGCAGTAAGAGTGAAGGGGTAACAAATCCTCTCCCCTCCTACAGAACCTGACATTTGGTTACCTTTCTAGTTCTGTTCCCTTGGAAACCAGATAAAAGTGGAATGTCAACTGTTTCAAGGCGATGTTGCTTAGGGTAGGAATGAACCCGAATTGTAAATTATCTGGACAAGGAACATCTGCGTAAAAGCCACAGCTCTGGCCCTCCTTAGTGCAGAGGGTCAATGGGGCACGTCCCTTGCAGGGATCTAGAAGTGATGTCCACGGGGTCGTTATGCCTACAAACTTAGGGAGTTACTGCTCCCCCGGGGCATGGTGCTGCGAAGCCAAGGTGAACCCCACTGCTCCCTGACACGTCCCATCCCTTTGCACCCGAGCTGTCACCTGGACGGTGGTGGGCTCTGCAGGGACTAGCCCGCCAAAGAGGACTGCTTCATGCTGTCCTGCTGGCAGGTGTTTCCGTCTGACAGCCGTCAAGGTGAATGCCACCCCCAGGCTAGCCTGTGGAAGTCTGAATGGTCAGCAGGATCTGGGACAGCGGCCCCCTGGAGGGTGTTACAGGCACCCCTGATTAGCTATGGAGTTTTGGGGCAAGTGCCTCAACTCTCTCCAAGCTTTAGTTTTCCCCCTTGGAAAAGGCGGGGCTGAGGTTTACATGAGAGAATGCACATAACTCCGCACAAGCTGGGAAACTGTATGCTCTTGGTGACGAGGGGGATGCTGACTGACTCCACAGGCACAGCCCTGCAGTGTGTCTGGCCTGCCTCCACGTGCCGGTGTTACCTTCAGTCCCTGCGTCTGTCTCTTGGGTAAGGATCACATCCGGAAGTTCATTGTCAGGGTTCCCTAAGGCCCTCTTTGGGAGTACCGTGAACGAGCGGCACAGCCTACCACACCCCAGTGTCCAGGAGTCTATGGAGAACAGAGTCCTGCTCTGGTTTGGCAGCCCTGACCCAGACTGCATCACGGGGACCGTGATGAGAACCTCACAGGGGTCAAGTGCAAAAGATGTTACCAATTAGTCACCAAGGTGGCACCAGCCAGGGTGAGAGCTGGTAGGGCCCTCAGAAGTCTCCTCATCTGAAACCCTCATGGCCACATGAGCCCAAAGGGGGGAAATGACCCACCCAAAGCCTCACAATAAATAGTTAGTCTAACTGGCACCTCCACGTTGGCCTTGGTGTCAGAGGACTTGGCTTCAAACGCCTGCTTTGGTGCTTCCTGGGAGGCGACCTTACATGTCCTCATCTATCAAATGAGTCTGCTGTGAAGATTTAAAGACTGACTCTAATTCCTGTGGAGTAGTTCATGGGGCCTGCAGTGACACGACAGTGTCCGTTACACCTTCTCCTGCAGCCCCAGCAGAACTGAGGCTGTGTGGCGCTGGCCTGGAGTATCTGGCCCCAGGTTGGCGCAAGCTGGGCGAGCCTGTGTCTCTCCTCACCCCATGACGACGGTGACAAGGATGAACCCAGCCATGGAGGCTCTCAGAGCTGCTGACCCAACTACTGATCTTCCTGCTTGGGCTTCGAGCAGCTTCCGCGCTCCCTGCTGTCTCGCTGCACCAGAGCACAGCCCTCTGAGGGCAGAGAACGGACTCCACACTGCTTCCCAGTGGGCATCTGGCAGCCAGCCTACTTTTTAGGGACTGCTGGAATCAGAAGAACTCTTGGGGATCACCTTGTCTACACGCCTCCTTTAAGGATGAGGAAACTAGGGCCAAGAAAGGGGAGTGTTCTGTCGACTGATTAAAACCACACTGGCATCTATATTGGTTTTTATTTATAAACAAACTGACATAAAAGAAGTCCGGATGGCAGTGGGGCAGCTGTGCTGCTGACTTGCTTATAAAGGAAGCATCTGGACAGTGGAGAGGGTACAACCAGATTCCAGCCTGCAGACCCTTCCCTCCCATCCACCTGATGGCCTTTGTGGCCTAGAATCACGGGGCCTAACCTCCTTTGGCAGTAGTTCTGGCCAGGGCAAGGAGCTGTGGTGGGGGACAGTGTGGGGCAGGGGACTCCCATTCCCACAGATGAGGCCCGGGGCTGCAAAGGGTCCAGTGGAGGAAGAGGGGAAGGTGACAGGAACCCTCTCCTCCCCATGCTGAGTGATATGGTCAAGGCTTGAAGGATGTGTCCATCCCACAGAGAAAGTGCCCTCGGGTGATGTCCTTGGAAAGGGCCCATGCCTCTCTGGGACCAGGGCAGGGCAGTCTCTCTCCTCCTGAAACCCAGTGTCTGGAGTGAGAGGAGTATGAACTGGGGGGCTTGCCCTTGTGCCAGAAACAATAAACAATAAGAAAAGATTTTTTTTTTTTTTTTTTAAAAAGGTAGAGGTTTGCACCATGAGTTTGGAGTCTGGAGCTCTTGTGAGGAGGGGGCAGGAGCTGCGGGGAAGTGGGGTGCCACACCAGGCCCAGCGGGTGGCAGGGGACTGGGCCCAAGGGTCAATTCAGGGCCCTATCCTCTGAGGCCTCAGGGGTCAGCCCCTTCCTCCATCACCTGAAAGGTGTTCAGTCTAAACGCCCAGTGGGAGGCCAACCAGGCTTGAGAAATAAATACAGAGGGACCTCAGAGCCGAGGCAGGGCTGAGGGGAAGAGCAGCGCCAGCCCTGGGCCCCACACTCTCCCCTCCTCAGTCCTTCATGGAAGGACGTATCACGGCAGAAGCGGGGAGCAGTGGTGGCTCCACACAGCCTCCCGAGTCCTGAGGTGGCCCGGAATCCACTGAGGCGCCGGCAGTGGGCTGCTTGGCACCCGCTTCCGGGGAGAAGAATGCTGAGCCCTTCCGGTGGACCCCTCAGGTGTCTAGGCTGCGTCTCCCGGTTCAGAACTTGCCCTGCTTCAGCCGGTCAATGTGGAAGGAGAGCTTGAGCGCCGGCCCCAGCTTCAGCCCCATGTACTTCATCATCATGTCACTGCGCAGCAGGAGCAGGGCCTTGCCGTCAATCTCCTGGGGGGCGGGGGGAGGGGCCGTCAGAGGCCTGGCTGGTCTGGCCACCAGGTTCTGAGCCACTAAAGCCTACCTGCTCCCCACAGCTTCTGTGGCCGCCGTCCACCAACATCTACTACCGAGCCCAGCAGGTGCTCTTCCCAGTACCCGTCCTGCTTTCCTTTCCCTGCTGCCTGAGGCGGTGGCCCCACCCTCCAACCACTGAGGTCCGGCTATGTTCCATCTCTTCCAATAAGCACACCCCCCCAATCATGTGCTCGTCCCCTCTCCCAGACTGGTTTATACTGATCCTCAACTCTTACCCCATAAGTCATCTTCCTTCCTGAGTGGCCAGGGCCCCTCTGTGTGAGCCAGGCTCAGAATAGCTGTGAGATCTTTAGGCTTGACCCGAGAGCACCCCCAAACCCACCAGCATGAAAGACTGAAATGATCCATGAAAGGCAGCAGATCTGTTCTGAGTGCTCAAAGGGCAGAAGAGCACCAAGCAATAGGGGCTGCGGGGAAATGGGTTTGCACCCCAAATCAGGAGTATGGTCACCACAGGCGGATCAGAAACAGTGCCTGGCCACCCAGCCAAATGGTCACTTGAAGAGATGTTGGAGGTTCACAGAAGAGCAAGGACAAGATGGGGGGCTGATGCGGCTGAAGAGTAGGAGCCATCTGGCTGGGGACTCTACGTTGGGTTGAGGCCCCCGATTCTCAGGCCAAGGCAAGCAAATGGGAGAGCAAACACGTCTAGGAAAAGAGAAGAGTCCTTTCCCTGGGCCCGAGCCCACCAGCCATGCACCCAGCAGGCATGTGACTGAGTCAGACCTACACTACAGGAGTGGGCTGAACTCAGTGCGCAACGAGGGCTGCTTGAGACCCAAGATTCTGTCTCTGTTTTCAGGATGTCTCCTGTGCTCAGTTTCAAGGGACCTTTAAGAGTCTACAAGTTTCGTAAGCAAGACTCCCCGTGGACATGGGAGAGGTCAGGAAGGGGCACCTACGTGTTTTCGAAAGAGGTCAGCGTGGGGTCCAAGCTGAGGATCAGCTTCCCGGACAAACTGCATCACGTCCTCCACTGTCCATGAGGAGGGGTCCCGGCCACTCAGTCGAGAGGCATCCCGGCTTTCCAGGTATCGGTCCGACCCTGCAGGACAGGAGGGAACCTGCTATAACGGGTGGGGACTGGTTTGTCCCGCCTCACCACTCTCCTTGGTGTGTCCCCATGGCCCTACTGGTGAGGCTCACAGCAGTGCCAGAGCAGAGAACTGGAGGTGGCCGAGGGAGGGAAGGGTTCTTCCACAAAGGGATCAGGGTCTGAGACTCTTCTCAGGTCAAATATTTGTTCTTTAAGAGTAGATCTGATTCTGGAGAGGGTCCGAAGAATTTCACAGTAAGGCTGTGGCTCTGCCTGGACCTGAGTCAGTGGTAACAATGAGTAAGGGGATGACACGGGTTCAGTGGGGGCCTGGGGGGCTTGCCCTCGTGCCAGAAACAATAAACAATAAGAAAAGATCTTTTTTTTTTTTTTTAAAGGTAGAGGTTTGCACCATGAGTTTGGAGTCTGGAGCTCTTGTGAGGAGGTGGCAGGAGCTGTGGGGTAAGGCTGCTTTTGCCTTGGCTCTGGGGACCATTTCTAGAGAGACTTTGGGAGATGGGCAAGAATAGAGCCAAATCCTTGGGGTCTAGGGAGAAAAAAAGTGGTGGATAATACCCTGTACCTCTTCCAAGGCCTGGAGAGAAGCTAACCTTGGGACAGCCTCATGCACAGAGGCAGAAAACAGTTTTGCCTGGGCTGCCAGGAATCTCAGTGTTAATTTAGTGCTTGGCTTAGCGCTTTTATCTCGATCTTGGCTCAAATACTTTCCTCCCATTCCCCCTGTGGGATCTGGGCTCTCTGAAATCTGAACTCCTTACCGTGCACAGTCTAGAAGGTACTCTATCATCTGGCCCTGTCTCCCTTTGACCGAATCTCAACCCCTGCCCACACCCTTTCCTCACCATGCTCCAGACACACTAGCTTTCTTTCTGCTTCTTGAATAGGCTATGCTTTATTCTTTGACCTTCAATCTCCTCCGTTCTTTTCCCAGGGCTTTGCATATCTGATTCCTTCTCAATACTTATTTCAAATATCAATTCCTCAGAGACCTTCACTGACCTCCTATAAAAGTACTCCATTCCCCACAGAGCTACTCTCAATCTAATTACTCTCCCCTTTTCCCAGCACATATCACTACCTAAAATAATTTCATGTATTTATGTTTATTGTCTGTATTCTCCTATTTTCTGCCCTGCTATTTGCTTGTGATATTGTGGTTTTTAATAAGAAACATACATATGTGGTCTCTGTCAGGTTTCTGGCACAGAACTCCTAAAATTCTTGGAATTTCCCAAATGGTGAGAGAAATAAAGGGGTCTTTTGTTATCTATAACAAGCCCTTTTCAACCACACCTGAGTATGGTCAGGAGGTGACTTCTGGAAAGCCCCTGAGGATGGAGGCTGGTTGCCAACCTTCCTGGGAAGGACAGTCTCCAATGACTTCATCAATCATGCCTATATAATAAAGATTCCATAAAAAAACAAAAGGATGGGTTTCGGAGAGCCCCCGGCTGGTGAGCACACGGAGGTGTGGGGGGCGCGGCACCCCTGGACAGGGCGTGGAAGCCTGTGCCCACCCCCCCAGGCCTTGCCCTGGGCAGCTCTTCCATCTGGCTGTTCCTGAGTTATATCCTTTCGTAAAAAGCTGGTAACCTAGTAAGTGACTGTTTTCCTGAGGGAACCCGAGGAGGGGATCATGGGACCCTTGACTGCCAGCCAGTCAGAAGCACAGGTGACAACCCAGACCTTCGACTGTCACATCTGAAGTGGTGTGTGGGTGGGTGGGGGGAGCAGGCTGGTGGGATGTGATGCTCTCTCCAGAGGGGGTCAGGATGGAGTAAGTTATCGGCCCCCCAGGGGGTGTGGCACAGTGGCTCGGGATGTGGAGGAGCCGCACGTCTGGTGTCCGGGTGAGGTCCTGTTGAGTAGAGTACTGGGCGTAGGGGAGACACCCCAGGAGGGGGGCAGGGTTTTCCTTTCACAGTCCCCAACACGCAAAAGATGCCTGGTCTGCTACAGATGTTCGAACAGGTTCGTTCACTGAATGAAGGATCACACACTAGTTACTTGTGTATTTTTCTGTCTCGAGGCAGGGACCTTGCCTTGCTCCTGTCTGTATGCTCACCACTCAGGAGATGCCAGGTGCACAGCCGAAGGGTGGGCTGAAACACACCTACAAAAGCAGAAGGGTGTACTCGTCAGCTATCTCTGGCAGAGGCTAAAAATCTCCTCCATTTCCCTTCACCCTGGGTCCCAGGTCTAAAAGTTGAAGCACGCTTGGCTTGGCCTGGCCCTGCTCCTAGGGAAGAGACTCCAGCATGTTACACCTCAGACTTAGAGTTGGGCACTGACCAGATAAGGGGAGAAGTTGCTGGAGTAAGCAGGGTGATTACAGCCACAGGAATTCCAATGGCTTTTTAGAGGCGCTGGCAGACAGGAAGTTGGAGAGGGCTCTGTGAGCCAGCCACATCTCTGGGCCCTAATAGTCCAGCGTGACGCTGACAGAGAAACCAGCTGCTGGGACAATGGAGCAGAGAGAAGCTACACTCATGGGTGTGTCTCGGCCCATCTCAGCCACTTCCTTGACCCAGGGGAGCCAGGAATCAAACACACGCATGATGATATTTTATATGTCTATATCTACATATCTATTATATATCTAGATGTATCTATCTATATATATGTATTTATGAGTTTGTCAGCTTTCTTCTCTTAGAACACACACCCCAG